AACCGTGCAAGACAATCGAACAGCGGAGGTAATAGCCGGTGTTGAGTTATACCCTCATTTATCCGTCCGTGATATGGCAAGGGAATTCGATATCACCAAGAGCTCAGTCCAACGGATATTAAAAGAAAATAAATTTTACGCTTATCATGTAAATCTTTGCCAAGAATTAAGAGATCAAGATTTTAATAACCGATTACAATTTTGTAATTGGTTATTAGGCCAAACTCAATTTTTTCATCGGAATATCCTTTGGACAGATGAAGCGACATTTAAAAGTAATGGGCAGTTAAACCTGCACAATGCCCACTACTGGTCAGAAGTTAACCCCCATTGGATGGTTGAAATGAACAATCAAAATCTGTGGTCTCTAAATGTGTGGTGCGGGATTTTGGGCGACACCATAATTGGGCCCTTTTATTTTGATGGCACTCTCAATGGTCGCAGGTATGCGGAATTTCTTGCTGGCACATTGCAGCATGATTTGTTGGGTGACATTCCACTAGCAATAAGGAGGAGATTGTGGCTACAACAAGATGGCTGCCCAGCACATTATGCTGCGGTATCTCGTGCGATTTGTGACCAAAAATTCCCTGGGCGATGGATTGGAAGAGGAGGTTGTGTGGCGTGGCCAGCACGATCACCCGATTTGACCCCTCTTGATTTCTATCTTTGGGGTCGACTTAAGAATTTAGTTTATAAACATCGACCAACAACAAAGGAAGAAATGAAGAACAGAATTCAAGAAGCGTGTCAGAATTTAAGTGCAAGAGAAATTTTAAATGCGGTAGATAGTGTAAGGCTCCGGCTTGAAAAATGTGTTGCTCAAAATGGTAGACAATTTGAACATTTATAATCTTTATTATCTTGATTTTGTTAATTTTTTATTAGATTGAGCGTTTTGTGTCGTTTTGTCGTCCAAATAATTCCTTTCCATAGTTATTTTATTCATTTGTTTAATAAGAACTGGTATTTTTACTTTAATTTATTAAGTTTTATTATTTAGTGTTTTGTAATATTCTTCTGTGGTAAAAAAAACTCCTTGTTATTTTATTCATTTTGTTAGTAAAAACAATTTCTTGTTATTAACCAGCCATTTCTAAATTACACGATTTTTCAAAACGACGAATAGCGACATCTATTTGTCAACTTAAATAACACCGGTAAAAAGTACCAACAATTAGNAAAATTTCTGAACTTTGATGGGCCATTTGAAGACTTTTATAATAATTTTTTTTCACGAATCGTCACCATTTTCGCTCTAGTATATGAGGTTAATTTTATGCCCCGAGTCACCGGAACACCCTGTATATGATACCTCCTCGTTCATGGTATGATGTCATTATCAATTTGTGCTAAAATGTGGTGAATCCTTTGATAATCGAAATCTTTTAATAAATTCATCAGTTTGATGGCGGACGTGGTCTATTCTGTCTTTTATTACGCGCACCCCGAATGGGAAATAGATAATTAATTTTCTCCAAGATTTCTTGCTCATCAATTTCAAACCTTTCGAAATCCATGATTTTTTATTCATTGTTATAACACGACAATAACACCGTTTTAATCACTATTATGGAGTTTTGACCGAACGTAAGCGTTTATTATGATTTTAGGTTAGATTTATGTTACGCCATCTGGTTAAAAATACCTTGAACCAAGTTTATCAATGAGGTAAATATTTAACCCGACCCCCAAACCGATAGTTAAGGATAGACCGAAAATAACTACCACTTTAACTAGACGTGGTAAAAGTGGGCCTAAGTCGAATTACCCTAACTCGAATTTCTCTGTAACTTAAACTGAACTACTATGGAATTTCTTCAACTTTTATTTCTATAAGTCGAATTTACCAAAGAATAAAATATTCGAATCCGCTCTGTAAGTAATTTTAACTACAGAATCAAATCACATAGACTCTGGCTCAAAAACTACAGACTCTTGAACCAAAACAAACCTAATGTTCTTATTGTTTCAGAATCAGATGAGGGTGATGATAATCTTGAAAATGAAATACTTATCGCTGTGCCTACATTTGATGAAGCTTATTCGTCTCTTAAAAAGCTTGAAACCTTTGTATTATCAAAAGAGAATGTTGCAGATAATATTCATAAATCTTTATATTTAATAGAACATTTTTTCGATAAAGAGCGGTTGTCCACTTTAAGCCAAAAGAAAATTACGGATTACTTTAAAAAACTTGATTAATTTTCTACTTACAATAGTTTTAAGGTTTCCGTTTTAAATATACGTATTAGAAAAGTACATTTTTAATTTTTTTCTTTAGAGCTGAAATTCTACTAATTTTTCTCTAACTCGAATTCTCCATAACTCGAAGTTTTCTTCCGATCCCTTAGTGATTCGAGTTAGGGGAATTTCACTACATGTATTTTAAGCAAATATTATATGCATTTTATAAAAATAATAATTCGCTTTGAAATACTTGTTTATGAGTTAAATTGCATTTTTGTATTGTTCAGAGGAAAATTAAAAAAATTAAAAATATTATATTATTAATATTATTATATTATATATTATTAAATATGTTGTTAAGAAAAGTTGTTATTTTTTCGATTCTCAACAAGTTTTATTTGAAACATTTTTCGATAGAAGTAATTTAAGTAAAAAATTCATTAAATCGATTTTTGAGATATCTTTATGAAACTTGCCAGAAACATAAAGAAAAGTGTGCTCGTTTTAGTGGTGAAAACCGTTTGGGAATATCACGATTAGTTTTGGTGATATTAATTTTTAAGTTAAGCGAAATTTGTCGTTTTTAATAAAATCAGTAAATATTTTAAAAAAATCGGTGAAGCCGTATTTTTAGGAGTTAAGTGCTGTATTATGTATTAAATTAAAGCTAAAAGATCGTATTTTCATAAAAATATTTAATATATAAATGTGTATTAGAAATTTTTTTTAGAAAAGATATCTTAAAAAAGCGTTAAATTAACTTCTAATATATACATTTTTATACCAGTGTAGAGCACAATTCGGTGATGATATCGAAATTTTTAATTAAAATAATTAATTTCAAATGATATTTTAAGCAAATTTTATATGAAACATATTTCGATAAAAATTATAATACGCTTTGAAATATGCATTAAATTGTATTTTGGTACTGTTTAGAGGGAAATTAAAAATTTATAATTTTAAAAAATGGTATTAAGAAAAGTTGTTACTTTTTTGAATCTTAACAAGTTCTATTTGAAACATTTTTTGATTCAGGTACTAATTATCAAGATAACCTCAAAAATTCTTTAAAATAAAATAATTTTAATTTCTCTGTGAACGATACAGAAAGACAATTCAACACAAAACAGGGAATTTCAAATTATTGATTTAGATAAATGATGTTGAGATTAATGACGTTAAAAACTCATTAACCTAAATCAATGTTCATGATTAAATTCTTAATGCTGATATTATACCTCATCGTTTCGTTTCTTTTCAATACAATTTCAAAACAGCGGGTTTTTATCTTTTGGAACAATATCTTCGGAAATATCAACTTTGGCCCACCTCGAATGGATTTCGAGGATTCGCACCAGCAATTTTTAACTATAACTACAACTGAATTTGTTCTTGTTTGTATTTTATATAGTGTAATGTATACAGTATGTCCCGGATCGAGTTACAAAGAAGAAAAAAAATTTATTACTAATTTTTCAAACTTAATCTCAGCATAAATAATGCGTCGGATAGGTTCAAACCACTAAATCGCACGAACTTTATATTCTAACTATAAAAGTTAACTAATTATTCCCATTTTTTTGTAAAAATTATACTTTTCCTAAATTAAAAATTTTTCAAGTTCAATTTACGATATCGTCGGCCTAATCTGCAAAACCCGTAAGTCACAAATAAAGAATTTTGGAGGAGGAGTAAAAAACGTTTCAACAATTAATTGTCAAATATATAATTGTTCTATTGCTATAGAATATCAAATATGCGTTCTATCTTATATATTTATGGGTTATTATGTATTAGACAATATTTATTGAAATTAAAAAGGACTTACAGGATTTACTCATAAAAAATTCAAATATAATTGGACATACTGGATTTCCATGTTTAAAGATTAAATACAGGATTATTAAGAATACACTAAACATTTTAAGGTATTTATTTACCAAATTATTGCAAAATTACAATTTTTTAGAATAAACAGATACAGATACAAACAAAAAATATTTATTTTTCGAAGAAACAGATAACACAGAATAGTTATATTTTGAAATATATATGGAAATTATTATAAGACAATGCAATGGTCTTATTTAACAAATGGAAGGTTATTATAAAAGTAATGATAGTCTCTTTGTAAACTTGACTTTAGAGATTGTAATTGCATCCACTTTTCATATTTAATTGGAATTGGACCCTTGTATAATGCTGGAAGATCATCCACTGGACATTTAGCTTCTTTTCTCTGACCTTAAAATAAAGAACTATCGGGTGCATATCGCAATGCTCGTATCAGCCCGCTTTCCTGGACGTATAGATTTCAAATAATTTAAGATGTGAAAATCCTTGAAAAAAGTATAATTCAAATAAAAAACTTTATAAGGTTGTTTTTCTCGAGCTTTCAAACAAATGTTAACATAATCGGCAGGTACATTGATGTCTGTGTGCCGCATCCGTCTCTCAATCGTTGAATGCATCGAATCGGCCTCCATCTGGGTATGGCCTTTTTCGAGGTATTTTTGTTCAATAGTTATATCCAGAGTCATCGATAAGTTTATTAATGCGTTGGCCAAAGTGGAATTACGATTTTGGGATTGGGCCATCACTGTACAATATTACTTTTTGTCTTGGTTCCATATTCATAAAAACATTATCTATTATAAATTTGCAGATTATAGTAGAATAGTCATTTTCCGAGACACTCCCATTTCATTCATGCCATAAGTAGCAATATCCATTTTTAGCTTTTAAAGTGATGAAGTATTTGACTTCGGCGATAACAGAATTGATTGTAGGTTCATGCAAAAAATATGACTTTCTGCTTCTTTATTTTTTATTTTTTCTTCCCTTGCTTCTTTTTTCATTGTCTGGTGTAAGTTGAAAATTTCATCTGATAGATTTCCAGTTCTATGACTTACACATTTGTCACATTCGTCTTTCTTTGGACGAAAGAGCGACAAGTTCATTTTCTCAAAAACATGATCAAATGATGTACTGGATGCGAACTTGCATTTATTATCTGCGCACCATTGTTTGTAAAATGTATAAATTGACGATTTTGACTTCCATAATGGCTCTAAGTAAAATTTTGATGATGACGATCGGCAGTAATGAGATTCGACCCTTGGTAACTCATTTAAAAAACGCTGTATATTTTCTTTCACTTTCTGATATCGAGTAGCTTTTTCTTTAATACATTTTTTTTTCTTGTTGTTTTTCAGTATTCTCTCCCACATCTTTATTTATATTCTTTTCCCGAGCAATTTCCTTCAACCAGTCCAAAACCATGTTCTCTTTTACGCAATGTGTGCGTAAAAACATTTGCTTGCATACTCTTAAACGATCACCTGCTTTTTTTAAGTAGTATTCTAAAGTCTCGCTTCTCCTTGACACATTATCCTCTTTTCTATTTCTTTGTCTATTAATAGGCTTAGATACAATTAATAATGACACATACACTTTTCTTGTAGACCATGTCATTTCTGACCAAAAATTATCAAAAATATTTTCTCTCTTCGTTTCTGAAAAATCGCGACATTTTAGCACCGAATTCTCACGCAAGGAAGGTTTGCAGTTGCACCACTCTTGCATTTTTCTCTCCTCTTTTGGCAAATCGTATCTCCATTTTCCATCGACCATTTTTCTTCCTAAATATTCTTTTCCTTTTTCGCGAAACGACTTTCTTTTACTTTCATTCCATGTTTTGCTGTCTACAAACTGTCTCTTGTTTCTTTTCCTTTTCATCTCTGGTAAGTCAGATTGTTGAGCTGTGTCATTGCTTACATCATCCTGGGGATGGATGGTAGTTTCAGGTACATAATTTGGATCCCCATCATCAGCATCCATTTCTTCATCTTCCTCATGTTTACTATTTAATTCAGGCAGATAATCCGGATCATCTATTTGCACTTCTATCTCTTCTTCAATATTTTTATATAGTAAATGTTCTAAAAGAACATTATTTTCTAGTCCAGTCTTTTTATTTTCTTCAATATCACATTCTGTACTCGCTAAGGCTTTGCAAACTTTATTTATTTCTAAGGTTGTCTCGTCAGTCTTTCCATCACTTATTCCTATATTATCATATTGTTGTGTAAAACTAAAACTAGATTCGATGGCACAAAGAGAATCAGTAATTTCTGGAATGTCTAATAATAACAAGCTTTTATNAAAAGTTGATAATCGCTTGAAATTGAAGATGGCGTTGGAAAAAGTTTATTTGCAGCATGAATCAAACCATTTAATTTGATACCTCGCTCATGAAAATCGAAATGTAAATGACAGAGTTACAGCTTGGGGCGTTTTTTATCTGACACCCTGTATAATATTTCTCGAAATAAAACTAAAAGTCAGAGTGGTGCGTTAATTTTGCGGTTAAGTGTATATCACAGTTACAATATTTTCTCTTTATACAGGGTGTTTTAAAACAACGTTTAAATATTTATAGGGGTAGTGCTACAGTAGAAAACAAGTCGAAAAGTGTTAACCAAGATGGGTCCGAAAATCAACCGTTTTCGCGTTACAGGATGTTCAAATTTTTTGGGACGCTAGGTTTTTTCTTTTAAACTGTAACTACTACAGATTTGATACTTGGGAAATCGATACAGTATGAAACTGTCTCTTTTTGAGAGTAGTATGATGTTTCCATTGCTTCCAGTTAGTATAAGTTATTCCATTACAAAACGTTATGCCATTAGTTACCAAAATTTGGCCATTACAAGGAGTAGGCTTTGCCTTACGTACAATCTGCTAAGATACATTAATTTGACGTTTTGTTGAAATTACGAAATAACCAAACTCCAGTCATTTGATTTTGCGAAATGTGAAGTGAAATCGTTTGCAATGGTCTTGTATTCAAATGCTGAAATGAGCGATATGGTGTTTATGTACGGCCGTGTCAATGCAAATAGTTTGAGAGCACATCGTTTCTATGCTGAAACATTTTCCAATCGCCGGCTAACAGGGTTGCCAAACAATTCGTGAAAACTACGGGCTATTTGAAAGAGTTCGGGCTTCCTTTGAACGTAGAATGAGAAACTGTATTGATGTTGCAGGTCGACATTTTGAACATCTTCAGTAAAAAGCTTCGTTTTGATTAATGTTAGTATTACGTTGTGTCAATTCAATTTTTCTAATAATTTATTTTTTAAAATGTTTTCTTTTTCGGAAACCTTAAGGAGTACAATTCCTTTTTTCGAATTAATGTTGTTTAGAATTAAGCTATCTGACTAATTGTTAAATAAAATTTTTGAATTTTCTGAAAAATAGTGGTATTTATTTTCACTTCCGGTCTAACCGGAAGTAATGGAATCATCATACTATTCTTAAAAAGAGACAGTTTTATACTGTATCGATTTGCCAAGTATCAAATCTGTAGTAGTTATAGTTTAAAAGAAAAAACGTAGAGTCCCAAAAAATTTCAACATTCTGTATCTCGAAAACGGTTGATTTTCGGACCCATGTTGATTAACACTTTTGACTTGTTTTCGACTGTAGTACTACCCCTATAAATATTTAAACGTTGTTTTAAAACACCCTGTATATTATAAGGTAGTCGTGGACAAAATTATTAATTAATTAATAAAAATCTCGTAGAAAATAATAGAAAAATCAAATTTTTTCTTGAAATATTAATAATTATTGTTCGAATCAACATTTTTTGTAAATAATATGTGTTAAGAATTGAATTATAAGCAACTTTTCTTAATAACACTTTTTAAAATAATGATAATTTAGTCTCCCTGTGAACAGTACGTCACCATTTTAAGGAATTAAGGAATGTTCTGCATTATTCGCATATATATTCGCTTCATTTTTAGGCATTCAGCTCATGTTTAAAAGACACCAATCAATTACAAACATTAATTTTATTTTAATAGATTTGGATTTTACGTAAAAATATTAATTTCAAATTTCCCGCTAAATCACCACATTCTAAATGGCCGCGTTTTGTGGGCAATATTAGAGGTGGACATTATAATGCATTCAAATTAATAATAAATTTATTTATTAATGGTGTTAAATTCTTTGTTAATTGATGAATTATATTTTAAAAATTAAATTTTGAAGAATTTCTTTTCGCTAACGCGCCATCTATTAGTTTGCGTTTGAATTAAATATGTCAACATTAACATAACCTCAATCTCATTGAATGGATTTGAGATTAATTTCTATTTAATTAATTTAAAATAATTAAAAATGAGTTATCGGCTTCGCCCTGCGAAGAAATTAGCCGAAATCCAATTCGGGTTTAAAAAAGATTCCGAAAATTTATTAAAAACGTTCGCAAAAAAAGAATCTCATTCTTTCGAAATATTCTCGGAAATTTGGAAAGAAAAACATTTTAGTTTAGTTTATAAGTGAGTTAATATAAAAAGAAAATTAAGAAAATTATAAATTTATTCCTTTTAGATATACCAAAAATTTCAATGAAATATCAAGACAAACCCAGCTTTTTTTATTTGAAGCCAAAAAGTTATTTATTTATGCTCCAAATATTTATATTAAAACGGGGGCTTTTTATTTATTATACGGGCTTTATTACAAACAACCATTGATGTAAATTTTTTAATATTACCAATACATTTCTTAAATTTATTAATTTTTAGGGAAAATATTAAGATACGATTAACCCAAAACGAATTAAAACTGCTTAAAACGTACATAAACGAGATGAAGAATTCCTCAGAAACTCATCCTATGTACATTTTCTCAAAATTAATTCATGATCAAGCTTTCGATTTCGTTTTTACCCAATTACCGTTGATACCTAAACAAGAACCCATCCTAAAACTCTTTGATATTGCAAGTAACGATACGTTTCGAGAAGATATTGAGTCTAAAGTTATGGATCAGATGAAGGAATTAATTGAAAACGAGGGGATCGCCGAGATTGGTAGGGATTATAGGAACGCTATGAAAGAGTATTTTGAGTCAAGTGGTGAAAAAAATATCATGATGTTTGATACAGATATACAAAAAGAGTTGGAAGGGGTTTTTATGGAAAAAGTTGTTGAGGGGAATTGTGAAAAAAATGATTCTTTGGGGAAAATCCGGGAAGAGTTGAAGAAAAAAGCAGCTGGGACGTTTAAAACAAAATAAACTCCTTTTATTACAATTTTTTATTATAAAATATATACATAACCTAACTGTCTTATTTTTTTAATTTATTTTACATTATTGATTTTCTTTTTATGCGTAAATGTTGGAATTTGATATAAGTAAACAAATACTTACTGTTTAAAATGTTAAACTTATTAAACTCGCATCCAAAAACCATAATAATATTAATAGTAAATAATTAACATAACCTCAATTTTGGAACTGTCAAATTTGGAAGGGGTTTTTACACATAACCTAACTTTTTTATTTTTTTAATTTATTTTATGTTTATTGATTTTCTTTTTGTGCGTAAATGTTAGAATTTGATATAAACAAATATTGACTGTTTAAAATGTTAAACTTATTAAATTCACATACAAAACCATAATAATATTAAATAATAAACATAACCACAATTTTGGAACTGTCACATTTTTAAAGAGGTTTTTATGGAAAAAGTTTTCGATGGGAATTGTTCGCTCCGCTTATATATTTTTAGTGCGCATGTGCGACATTCGCCCCCGCTCAGTGTGAGTTTCACCCGCTTGGTCCGCATGCGCACCCTTAACGCACTCCGCTTTTAATTTTAATACGTATTACGACTCAGTTCAGTTAACCCGCATTTTGAATACTACGCATCCGCTTCGCATCCGCCAAAAATTCAGTTTAGTTCTCTACCGCATCGCTACGCCGCTTCAGAAGGTAATTAATCAATTATCATTTGTTTTATTTAAATTTTTATTTTTAATTAAGAATTATATTTTTTTATTACAATCATCTTGTTTTTTTTTATTATTGCTAATTTTTGAAACCAGCACCTCCGCTGTTATTGTCGCCTATAATTAGAGCGCACAGGAATTATGAAAAAAATGATTCTTTGGGGAAAATCCGGGAAGAGTTGAAGAAAAAAGCAGTTGGGACGTTTAAAACAAAATAAATAATTAATTAAATTCCTTTTATTACAATTTTTTTAATATAAAATATATGCATAACCTAACTTTCTTATTTTTTTAATTTATTTTACATTTATTGATTTTCTTTTTGTGCGTAAATGTTAGAATTTGATATAAACAAATAATTACTGTTTAAAATGTTAAACTTATTAAACTCACATCCAAAAACCATAATAATAATAATATCAATAGTAAATAATAGACATAACCTCAATTTTGGAACTGTCAAATTTGGAAGGGCTTTTATACTTAACCAACTTCCTTATTTTTTAAATTTATTGATTTTCTTTTTGTGCGTAAATGTTAGAATTTGATATAAACAAATAATTACTGTTTAAAATGTTAAACTTATTAAACTCACATCCAAAAACCATAATAATAATAATATCAATAGTAAATAATAGACATAACCTCAATTTTGGAACTGTCAAATTTGGAAGGGCTTTTATACTTAACCAACTTCCTTATTTTTTAAATTTATTGATTTTCTTTTTGTGCGTAAATGTTAGAATTTGATATAAACAAATAATTACTGTTTAAAATGTTAAACTTATTAAACTCACATCCAAAAACCATAATAATAATAATATCAATAGTAAATAATAGACATAACCTCAATTTTGGAACTGTCAAATTTGGAAGGGCTTTTATACTTAACCAACTTCCTTATTTTTTAAATTTATTGATTTTCTTTTTGTGCGTAAATGTTAGAATTTGATATAAACAAATAATTACTGTTTAAAATGTTAAACTTATTAAATTGACATCCAAAACCATAATAATATTAAATAATAAACATAACCTCAATTTTGGAACTGTCAAATTTGAAAAGGGTTTTTATGGAAAGAGTTTTTGAGGAGAATTATGAAAAAAATGATTCTTTGGGGAAAATCCGAGAAGTGTTGAAGAAAATAGCAGCTGGGACGTTTAAAACGAAATAAATAATTAATTAAATTCCTTTAATTACAATTTTTTATTATAAAATATACAGGGTGATTCACATAAGAACCGACACAGAGCAGGGACATGTATAGGACAATAAATTAAGATGATTTAACGCAACTTATCTCTATACCAAGTTGTACCTCTGAGGAGTATGGGCTTTCAGAGTTGGGTCTTAAATTTTTAAAACATTGAATATCTTCGTAATACATTAAGCTAGAAAAACCAAATTTGGTATACGTTATGAAAATCATTATACCTAAACTAAATTTGTTTATGGATGAGTTTATTTAAGATATTTTCAAAGGATATGGATCTCTACCAGGGGAAGTAGAAATTGAGCTGGAGGAAGAGGCAAGACCAATGAGGCAACCACCAAGAAGAGTTCCAACAGCATTGAGAAAAGATTTAAAAGAAGAATTGATACATTTAGAGAAAGAAGGTATAATTACCAAAGAAGATCATAACACAGATTGGGTGAGTAACATTTTATTAGTAAAGAAGGAAAAAACATTTAGAATATGTTTGGACCCGATTTCATTAAATAAAGTCATGAAAAGACCACATTGGCAATTCACCACGGTTGATGAAATATTGCCAGAGTTGGGTAAAGCCAAAGTTTTTTCAACAGTAGACACAAAGAAGGGTTTTTGTCAAGTCAAATTATCGGAATCTAGTAGTAAATAACAACATTTTGGACACCTTTTGGAAAGTATAGGTGGAAAAGGATGCCATTTGGTCATATATTATCTTGTGATGGCTTAAAGGTAGATCAGGAAAAAGTCGATGCCATAAAGAAATTTCCAGTTCCGAATGATAAGGGAGGATTATTAAGATTTATTGGTATGGTCACTTATCTAAGTCGATATATAAAGAATCTTAGCAGTGAATTATTTATTTTGAGACAATTAACGCACAATAATGTGGATTTTAAATGGTCTGATCAGGAACAATTAGAGTTTGATAAAATTAAAGATATTGCTTCAAATATTCAACCTTTAAAATATTACAACACAAAAGAACCTGTGATTTTGGAATGTGATACTAGTAGTTTCGGATTGGGAGCAGTTGCATTTCAAAAGAATGGTGTTATAGGTTACGTATCCAGAACACTTACTAGATCTGAAAGAAATTATGCCCAAATCGAAAAAGAACTGTTAGCAATAGTGTTCGGTTGTAGAAGATTCGACCAAATGTTAGTTGGAAATAGGGTAACAGTAAAAACCGACCACAAACCTTTATTACGGATACTTGAGAAACCATTATTAAATGCACCAAAACGATTACAACAAATGTTAATGACACTTCAAAGATATAACATTGAATTAGAATATGTCACAGGAAAGAATAATATAGTAGCCGACACATTGTCTCGTGCTCCATTAAACGATAGTTATTATAATGAAATATCGAAGCACAAAAGAATCAATATTTTCAAAGTATTTGAAAAAGTGAAAAGTGCGACATATTTACAGGTTACCGAAGAGAGACTTAAAATAATTAAAGAGGAAACATTGACAGCCAAACTTTACAAAAATTGATAACATTTATTATAGACGGTTGGCCATCTGTAATGAAAAACATTCCTGAAGACATAAAAATATACAACCAGTACAAACACGAAATATCAGTACAAGATGGAATTTTATTCAAAAATGATAGAATAATAATACCATACAGTTTGAGAAAAACTATGATTGAAAAAGTTCATTTANATCTTGGCCATAAATCACATCACCCCGCTTGTCTGTTCGGAACTTTTACAACACTACAGAGCAGGTAAAACCTGGATTAAATGCCTCGTGAACGTAGGTCGTTTCTAGTACAATTTTATGCCTCTACGAGCGGCTCTTTTCGCATTATATCTGAACAGAACTGTACTTTCAATCTACCCTTCTAAACTACTAAACGTAACCACCCCCGTTCAATTTATGCTTAGATTTTTTTTATGAAGATGATAAATACATTGGAAAAATTTCAGTTAGATAGATAAAACTATTCTAAAACTTTTTTGTCTCTCTGATGTTCTTCTAAAAATTAATAATTTCTGAGAAAAAAAAATAATTAAGCAAACACTAACTGTTAAGCTGTAGGGTTGTTAATCGAAAGTTGGAATGAATTTTTAATAAAAAAATCTTTGTAGGCTTTACTATCTTTGTCATAAATATTTTTGACGTTTAAATGTCAGTGGTTTTCTTACTATTATTATTGTTTTATTTAAAATTTTGAAACGCCGAGTAAACGAGCCTAAATGCGGTAGAACTTTATTCAAAAATTAATTTGAAAAACAATAATAATAGTAAGAAAAACTGACATTTAAACGTCAAAAATATTTCTGACAGCCTACTAAGATTTTTTCATTCAAAATTAATTTCAACTTTTGATCGACAACCCCGTTGTTTAACGGGCAGTGTTTGCTTTACTATTTTTTTTCTCAACAATTAGTAGTTTTTGGAAAAATTTTAGAGAGACAAAAAAGTTTTAGAATACTTTCATCTATCTATGTAAAATTTTTCTAATGTATTTATCATCTGCATAAAAAAAATTTTAGCAAAAATTTAAAGGGGGTGGTTACGTTTAGTAGTTTAGAAGGGTAGGTTGAAAGTACAAATAGGGTCAAAACGTGCCCTATTATGAGTTAAACATATTCCCCAAATTTCATTTTCCTAGCGTTTATGGTTTTTGAGAAAAAGAAATTAAACCAAAATTTTCCGCCATTTTTGGAGGGGTGTAGCTCCTTAGGGGAGCCGAAGTCGCCCATGGTTCATATATCAAAGTACCCTTAAAATTTACCAAAGAATCACCCCTTGAAGTTTGTTGCAGTCATTCACATACATCCTGTATAACCGAACCTTGACATAACCTACCTTTTTATTTTTTTAATTTATTTTATATTTATTGATTTTTTTTTGTGCGTAAACGTTAGAATTTGATATAAACAAATAATTACTGTTTAAAATGTTAAATTTATTAAATTCACATCCAAAAACCATAATAATAATAATATCAATAGTAAATAATAAACATAACCTCAATTTTGGAACTGTCAAATTTGGAAGCGCTTTTATACTTAACCTAACTTCCTTATTATTTAAATTTATTTTATGTTTATTGATTTTCTTTTTGTGCGTTAATGTTAGAATTTGATATAAATAAATAATTACTGTTTAAAATGTTAAACTTATTTCACTCAAATCCAAAACCATAATAATATTAAATAATAAACATAACCTCAATTTTGGAACTGTCACATTTTAAAGGGGCTTTTATGGAAAAAGTTTTTGAGGGGAATTATGAAAAAGCTGATTCTTTGGGGAAATTCTGGGAAGAGTTGAAAAAAAANAATTTTAGAAAACAACAGAAGGAAAAGCAAATTTTATTACGACCAGAAAAGTCGAAAATTACCAGAATTAAAAATAGGACAATCTGTAATAATACAAATGAAACCTGAACAGTCAACAGTATGGACAAAAGGGAAAATTGATGAAAAATTGAATGATAACACATGTATAGTTAATGTGGAAGGAACAATGTATAGAAGAAATGTAATACATATTAGACCACATAATAGCGAAATTAACAAAAATGAGACATTAATTCCCGAAATACCTAATCAAGCAAATGAAGTAGTGCAGTCACACAATGAGAATAATGAAAGAAGAATGGAAACAGAGAAAACGGAAGTGAATACGGAACGAATTCAAAAACAAGAAGACGAGTTAGAAGAGAAAACGAAGAAAACAAATAACAATGATACAAACAATTTAAAAGAAGAAACGAATGAGAATAATATTAACAATTCGAGGGACAAAATAAGACAGCAAGAATCAATAAAAGCGAAGGAAGAACCAAGGAAGCGAGAAGGAAGACAAAGAAAGATACCTAAAAAGTTTGATGATTATAAACTTTATTAAAAGAAAAGGGGATTATATATATAGTTAAGTTAGTTATTTTAGTTTTAAGAGTTTTAGGTTGGTAATAAAAAGACGTTAGAGGTTAGACAATTACATGTAAGAACTTGCAAGAAGCGAAGCTGTTTTGAATCTAATAATAAAATACATTTTCAATATTAAACGGAGTTTAATATAACATAATTAAATTCCTTTAATTACAATTTTTTATTATAAAATATATACATAACCGAACCTTGACATAACCTACCTTTTTTTTTTTTTAATTTATTTTTATATTTATTGATTTTTTTTTTGTGCGTAAACGTTAGAATTTGATATAAACAAATAATTACTGTTTAAAATGTTAAACTTATTAAATTCACATCCAAAAACCATAATAATAATAATGTCAATAGTAAATAATAAACATAACCTCAATTTTGGAACTGTCAAATTTGGAAGGGCTTTTATACTTAACCAACTTCCTTATTTTTTAAATTTATTTTGATTATTGATTTTCATTTAAACTTATTTAACTCAAATCCAAAACCATAATAATATTAAATAATAAACATAACCTCAATTTTGGAACTGTCACATTTTAAAGGGGCTTTTATGGAAAAGTTTTTGAGTGGAATTATGAAAAAGCTGATTCTTTGGGGAAATTCTGGGAAGAGTTGAAAAAAAAAGCAGCTGGGATGTTTAAAACAAAATAAATAATTAATTAAATTCCTTTTATTACAATTTTTTTATTATAAAATATATACATAACCTAACTTTTTTATTTTTTTAAATTTATTTTATATTTATTGATTTCCTTTTTGTGCGTAAATGTTAGAATTTGATATAAACAAATAATTACTGTTTAAAATGTTAAACTTATTAAACTCACATCCAAAACCATAATAATAATAACATTAATAGTAAATAATAAACATAACCTCAATTTTGGAAGTGTCAAATTTAGTTTTAAGTACTTGGGGTGACTTCTGAAGGCTCAATGGCATGCGAAGACGAGTCGGAACTCCAATTAACAAGGCTCACTAAAACCAATCATTTTATTTAAAAAATAATTTTAACTCACAAAAAAATTACCAACCGATAATAATAATCAAAATAACCAATCCGATAATGCCTAAAATGATCATCATTTTTAAATTTTTCCACCAATATTTTCGTTTCAATTTTTGCGCTTGTTGCTCGAACTGTTTTCCACCTTCCTGTAAAGCTTCGGCACGCGAATCCAACTCGGACAGCTTTTGATCTCTCTCGAGAACCTTTTCAACGTTCACCCGCATAATCCCCACGACCTCATTGACTTGCTGTTGGGTTTGCTCCAACTTGTTATTCTTGGTAGCATTGGAAGAAGTCGCCGAATCCATGTTAAACGATCTATTTTTAAATAAAGAAAATTAATTAATTAAGATAACACGAAATGACTCAATTCTCGGTATTTACCAAACCACATCCCGTTACGAGATAAAATCATTTTTATGGGGTTAATTAATAAAAGGGCGTTTACTTACCGAAATAATTAAGGGCTAATATATTATTAACTCAAAACGAAACCAAAAATGGATAAAATAAAAACTTAAATGAACCGAAACTGACAGCAACGCAGATACTTTTGACGTTTCTAATTGACGTTTTAAGGGCCGGTAAAACAGATTAACAAAGTTATCTTGTTTTTCAAGATAACGTATCTTTTAAAAACGTTTTTTTTAATATTAATAATTTAAATTTAGTTTTTAAGGTAAATATTAGACATAAAATAAGTAATTAAAACGAATAATACTTACCCGTTCTATTGTTTCAAGTACTTTAACAAAAAAACGGTTCTTATCAATAATTGCGTTATCACCTTTATCGCTTAATTTCGTGAAATGCGATAAAAATAAATCGTTATCACACAATAAATTAATTACTCAATGATTCAAATTAAAATTTTATCGATGTCGATTCGCTACTAACTTCTCGTTGTATACATTTGACGTTTTATTCATGATCTGTCAAGAAAACTCGGAAAATTTTTTAAAATATTATTTTCGAATCAAACACGATGAATCTCAGGTGAATAAACCGCAATTTTATGTTTTAAACGACCTGATAATACCAGGAAATAATTTTAATAATTTTTTTAACGTCCCGTTTAAAATAAAAACGTGTCAGTTTGTTGAACTTTCAACTTTACCTGTTTTTACGATTTTTCCATTATAAGTTTTGTTGTAGCGCCGAGATGGCCCTAAAAAAAGTTAAGGGGAACTTGGAGCGAATGTTTGATAAGAATTTAACCGATTTAGTTCGAGGGATACGAAACAATAAAGAAAATGAGGTTAGGTTGTTTTGGCCCTTTAGGTTTGAATTAAAAAATATTTTTTTTAGGCGAAATACATCTCTCAATGCATGGAGGATATTAAACAAGAATTGAGACAGGATAATTTAACCGTTAAAAGCAACGCAATTGCAAAATTAACTTATGTAAGATTAATATAATTTTTTTTTTGAGGTTATAATTTTTTAATTTTAGTTACAAATGTTGGGTTATGATATTTCTTGGGCCGGATTTAATATAATAGAGGTGATGAGTTCGAGTAAATTCACTTTAAAAAGGATTGGTTATTTAGCGGCGAGCCAAAGCTTTCACTGTGACTCCGAGTTATTAATGTTAACTACAAATATGATTCGGAAAGAATTAAATTCGCAAAATCAATATGAAGCTGGTTTAGCTCTCACTTCTTTGAGTTGTTATATTAGCACTGATTTAGCTAGGGATTTATCGAATGATATTTTAACTTTGGTAATTAATGTTAATTAAAATAATGTTGAATTAATTTATTTTAAAAATGATTTAGTTGAGTTCGACGAAGCCGTATATTCGAAAAAAGGCTGTTTTAATGATGTATAAGGTGTTTTTGAAGTACCCGGAGGCTTTGCGACCCGCTTTTCCTCGGTTAAAAGAGAAATTGGAGGATCCTGATCCAGGTAAAAACGTTAATAAATAATTTTATGTGGCTGAAGTTAGATTCATATTCGAATCTGTACCAGATTCAGATTCATAAAATTACAGTTGATCAGACAAGTATTGAACATATCAATTGAAAAAGCGCTTTCTGAAACTACAGAAGTTGTAGCAATCTGTGACTACCCTGGATAATTCGAATAGACCCTCTATTACAGCGATTCACAGACTTATTAAGACTAGGGGCCACTCGGGCAAATCATGAACTGATGGCGGGCCGCCAGAAGTATAGGTAATTAAAGACAACAAAGAATTGATAATAATGTATTAAAATTGAAAAAGAATTTATTAATTTGAAGCGTGGCACTGCATAATGCTTACAATCTTTTTTATATTTGGCTCAAATTTACTTGTAGCAACACGTAAAACTGCTTCCAAACTATTATTTGCAAGGCGGTTTCGATTTTTTGTTTTATTATTATTTAGTATTGAAAAAGTTTGTTCACATATACAGAGTGTCTCAGCGAGACCGGTCATTAGACGTTTCTGGGGTTCTGGCCAAACAAAAAATTTGAGAATGCAGACTTAAGTATTATCAATTACGTTCTCTTCATCTAAAATATTTTCATATTTCTAGCACTTCCGGTTACACCGGAAGTCGCCACCAACTTTATTTTTTTAAATGGAACACCCTGTATATTTTTACATATTTGGATTTGTCTGTTTTCAAGGTTTATAAATAACTTTACTTTTTGCAATTTGATTCGGTCGTTCTCGAGTTATTCGAATTTTTCTAGAAAAATCTGCTCCAGCAGACATTTGTTCAAAAAATCAGAAAACACTCAATTTTTGGGATATCAATTTAGGATTGAGAACATGCTTAAGCAACATGATGGAGTATGTTTTGGTGCCGAGAACTGCGGTCTAGAACGTTTGATCACTTTACTATGGCACGTTAACTTTTCAAAATTTGGAAGTACCATAACTTCATTTTTTTAAATGGCACCCCCCATATTTTATTTTTTAGTCGTCTTCGGTGTCTCATTCTACATCTTTTATATCCCATATGTCCCATACCTAATATTAATAGTTTGGGAGATAATTAGGGTTTTTTGAAAAATGCACACATATCATATGGATATTTAGCCTAGTGTGCCATGAAAAACAAGCCTTCTCAATGAGTTCTTGTCAAAGACTCACTTGTTTACGTCACTTGATGCATGTGAGCTAATAATTATCTGTTATGTCCCTTAATATTAGTACTGAAACGAGTTAAAATCGATAACAATAACGAAAGTAATATTTACACAAATCAAGAAATTCTTAATTTATTTTTTTTGCATGAAAAGCGCGACAAAGTTCGTAGTATGATTCCCAGATCTTCTTTGGCAGCTCGAATTGAGGTGTTGGGACTGGGCTCGAAATAAGCCAAGGTATTCACCTCTTCCGTTGCATTATCTACTACATTTTTTGGTCAGTTTAACACGTGATTAATTCGTCCAAAATGCAAAAAATTTGCTTCTATTCCTCTAAATTTACCTTTTGTCATCGGAGATAAATGTGGATAATTTTCATTAAACATTCTGCAAGTTCTACTAAGAACTTTGTCGCACTTTTCGTGCACAAAAAATAAATTATGGATTTCTTCATTTGTATAAACATTATTTACGTTATTAATATCCATTTTAACTGGTTTTAGACTCACAAACATCAAACAACCTAAATTAGACTTTGACGTTTATCAGTAAGTCATTAAACATTTGTTTTCCATGGCACACTACTATCCGTGCAAAAAGTTAAGGCCCCTCACTTTAGAGATCGATATCTTCGCAACCGCTCCATAAAAAAAATTGCAACAAAGTTTGTTGTAATCACTGGACATTTCTACGTAACTTATGTTAATCTGAAAATTTTCGGATCCACCGTTTTCTTTTTACCGCGAGTTAAATGAAAAATGTACCCGATTTTTTACGGAATTGGCAACTTTATCAACTTTGCGATTTTTTTTCTCGAAAACTATCGTACGAAAAAATTTTAATTTTGAACAGGTGGTAGTCTGATGTGTTCTCAATGAGTGGCATATTTTATTTTTTCGATATTTCATACAGTTTCGCGGAAAATCGCGGTTTAGTAAGACGCCGTTATGTCGAAAACGGTTGGGTGGATTTCTTCGCGGATTTGACCAAAATATGTCAAATAATGTTGGTTGTCGGATTCCGTTATCAGTTTTTCAAAATTAAGGCTCTCTATTTTTTTAAGAGCGAT